CATACAGTTATACTGACCTGATACAGAAGTCATAACATACAGTTATACTGACCTGATACAGAAGTCATAACATACAGTTATACTGACCTGATACAGAAGTCATAACATATAGTTATACTGACCTGATACAGAAGTCATAACATATAGTTATACTGACCTGATACAGAAGTCATAACATATAGTTATACTGACTGAATACATAGGATATAACATAGTGTTTTACTGACCAGATACATAAGTCATAATATCAGTTGCATCACCAGACATATATCATTTACCAGCTCAACTTTCACAATTTTCAACTAAGTGCTTCATCTGTTTTGACAGGTATTATATATGTCCAATAACAGCGTGAAAGATATGTCAGAATTCGTCAAGTTGGTAAGTAATTTTTTCTATTCAAACCTTTATTATTTCAGACTTTCATTGTTTCCCAAAAGGGCCGTCAATTTAAAGGGTTACAAATATGATATTGTAGTCATCAATGATAAGAATACAATTTGTATACGCCCGTCAAATTTGACGGGAGTATTATGGTCCATCCGGTGTAAACTTTTGTTTGTCCGGCTATCTTCTCCTACATTATTCGACCAATCTCTTTGAAACTTGGTATACATTATAACCATGATATGAAGTTGTGTCTCACTGAAAAGAATTTTGATTCGACAATATTTGCAAAAGTAATTGCCCTTTGTTTATTTCAGTATTTGATTTTTGTCCGGCAATCTCCTCCTACATTTTTTCGACCGATCTCTTTGAAACTTAGTATACATTATAACCATGACATGAAGTTGTGTCTTCCTTAAAAGAATTTTGATTCGACAATATTTGCAAAAGTAATTGCCCTTTGTTTATTTCAGTATTTGATTTTTGTCTGGCAATCTCCTCCTACATTTTTTCGACCGATCTCTTTGAAACTTAGTATACATTATAACCATGACATGAAGTTGTGTCTTCCTTAAAAGAATTTTGATTCGACAATATTTGCAAAAGTAATTGCCCTTTGTTTATTTCAGTATTTGATTTTTGTCTGGCAATCTCCTCCTACATTTTTTCGACCGATCTCTTTGAAACTTAGTATACATTATAACCATGACATGAAGTTGTGTCTTCCTTAAAAGAATTTTGATTCGACAATATTTGCAAAAGTAATTGCCCTTTGTTTATTTCAGTATTTGATTTTTGTCTGGCAATCTCCTCCTACATTTTTTCGACCGATCTCTTTGAAACTTAGTATACATTATAACCATGACATGAAGTTGTGTCTTCCTTAAAAGAATTTTGATTCAACAATATTTGCAAAAGTTATTGCCCTTTGTATATTTCAGTATTTGATTTTTTGTCCGGAGAACTCCTCCTAATTTTTTGACAGACTTGTTTGAAACTTAGTAGGCTAAATAATCATCATATGTTGTTGTGTTTCCTTGAAAAGAATTTTGATTCTACAATTTTTGCAAAAGTTATTGCCCTTTGTTCATTTCAGTATTTGATTTTTTTATCCGGAGATTTTCTCCTACATTTTTATAGCATGTCAGCTAACCACTCTTTGAATGATGCAGATCTTATTTCAATGTAAGAAAGTATATGACACTATATGGCATTCAAAGGGCGTATATTGTTCCGCCCCGCGGTACTCTTGTTATTATCTTACTTCCTTTCTTAACACCGTTTGCTATATGTGCTATTTAATCTTAAATTAACTTTATTAAACATGTCAGATGATGTCAGACAAACCTTGCATTCGTTGAATACCATGTATTCCTCAATTTATTGATCTGGTCCCCACAAGTTAGCAGGGTTTTACTGTATATATCATGTAAAATATATTTTCGAAACCATTTTACTCAGTGATGCTCGTATATTATACTAGCTAATATATAGGATGCATTTGAAACCAACATAATGAAAACACCTCAGTTTTGCAAAAGTCAAACTATTAAGGGTACACAATGATTTCTTGGTGGTACAGTATATGAAAGTATGATATTAAAAGATGAATTATATTCTCCAACTGTGAAAACTTTATATCAATTCTTTAGCTTCCAAAAAATCAATTAGAAATACATGTATATCTTATAGGTTAAGGGAAATTAGGGATATGTCACAGACAAAAAATAGAAGTGTTAGGAGAACAAGTTTAATCTTGATTGTCAGAATCCAACCAGACTTAATATGAGGGCTGGTTGATTTGTGTATACAACATCATGAGTGTGGATTGTGTTGCATATTAATCTTGAACTGACTTCTGAATCCTACAGGCAGAGCTGAAAGTGCTGGAAGATGTGGTATTTGTTGGTAAGTAGTATTTTAGTAACTTTATTCAATTTGTCCTGCACCTAGCATCATAATTAGTAAGTGAGGAAATCAACTACAGCTTATTCACCATTAATTTATTGGTTTTATGGCACTGCATACATTCCAAGAAATGATGTAAAGCACTAAAGCAGCATACCGATTACAAAATTATGAAGTTATTTGTTACTGGAATAAGTGGATTAAGATTGAGGACTTGATAATTACTTAAATTGGTTTGGTTTAAACAACATTTTAATTACAAATATGCAGTACATAATATAAAATTTTACATGATGTAATGTTAGGGATCTGCCAACAAGAGTAGACTCTTATATTAAGCCATCTCCCAATGGGAGACGAGACAAGACAAAGGTCGTGATTAGTTTTTTACTATTTATAGAAATTTGTTAAACCATGACATTAATTTGTATGGGAGTGGGAATCATCTTCGAGATGTTTTCCAGTTGCATTGTCAAAATCTGATTTTTTGTATCAAGTCACTAAATGGAATGCCTTTAAAGAAAAACAAATCCATTTTATCAGTTATTGAATTACACATATTGAAGGTTGTGCTACAGTTATGAAAATTCTTACCTCTGATTTGTGTGATATGTCAAAGGGGTACAATTTTCAAGTCAGTTACAAGCGTGCGGTTGCTTATGTTGGTTTTAGGTAATCCCCTGGAGGTGGCACAAACCGAACTTGGTGAATGGAGAGATGCAGTTAAAAAGAAGCTGCCTCAACTCAAGAAATTAGATGGTAGGTTCGGAAAGATAAGTATAGGCAGCCATCTTGTACTTTGTTTAATTGCATATTTTGTTGTGTAGTGGTCATCTGGATAGCTGTCAATCAATTGAAGGAGTTCTATTTAAGTAACATTAAAAGAAGAAAATGTACATTTTATGCATATAAAAGCAGTTTGGCAACAGAACCGTAGTGCCAATAAAGATTTATTATGGGGAAAATACTGCCTTTTGAGTGATCTTTATCAGCTGATGTTTCTGCTATATATCTGTTTTTACAGGCAGCCCAATTATCCGAGAGGAGGAAGAGGACTGAAGAGGATTCCTCCATCATGAGGATGTTGGTTTCCGGTGGAAATTGGACATCAGAATCAATATCATATTGGATAAGCTACAACCAATATTCAGACTGTGTTGAACATTACTATCTAACCTGTATTTTCATCATCAGCTGATTGCGGTTCCCTCGCAACTAAATATCCCTGTTGGGATATATAATTTTAAGGATTGTTTTACGAACTACTTGACAATAGGAGTTATATTTCATTGGACATATTTATACATGAATATGTCAAACAAGTCTGTTGGCAGTATTTCTAAACGGACTTAACATGTTGTGAGTTTAGTACTCTCAAGTGCATGGGTCACAGCTAATGTAGAACGTGAACCAACTTTATATTTGTTATGTGAAATTCGGGGAGATATTTTTTTAAGTTTTTAAAACATGATCAGTTAAAATTCATTGCATCATCGCTTCTCTCCTGACGGGACTTCTCAGCAGCTTGTATATTTGAAATGTTATCTTGAATCAGTAAGTTGATGTAAATAGTGTAAAATTGTATTTAAAAATATTTTCTCTGTTTTATTTTCAAGATATAAGGAAACAAGAGTTATGAAACACACACACTTTAAGTATGGTGGATTCACCTCATGTTATTGGAAAAATAAGCATTTTAAATAAACATTGAAAACAGACATATTAGTATTTTTATCTCATTGAAATTAATCTTTTTAACAACTACAAATATTAAGATTAGAGAATGGCTTTATTTCCGGACTGTTGTTGATTACAATATATTTCTTACATGTTTTAGATGAGCATGTGCAACTAGGTAAAGGGGAGTATCAATTATGATTATATCCATAAGAGCAAGTTTGATCTCAGGAATTATGACCTTCAGTAGGTGAAAACCCACAAGTTATGATATAAAATCAGTTTTGTTAATGGTTTATTATTATACATTAAAGAACGAGAGTTGCCAGATGCAGGTCACATCCCCTCGCAAACCTCAAGAAACCTTTGTTGTTGTACATCAGTGATTTGTATAAGGAAGGGGCTGTGCTTGTGAAAAAAATCCTGTTCCATTAACAGCTGAAATTCTTCAAGTCAAAGCTAGGTTTTAGACAATTCCATTTTTAGTAGCAGTGACCTTGACCTTTGATAAACAACAAGCACAATGAAGAGGAAGAAGCTTCCTCTCTTCTAGGCAACCCACAAGTCTCAGTTTTGTGTTATATTTTTTTTCTGTTTTTAGGAACTGGAAAGCAATCTCTTTTAAGCAAGATTTATCTTGATCTTTGACACAGAATCTCAAAATCAAGTTTCTTTATCTATGGCGATTCTTACAAAGTTACCATCTAGACAGGAAATTAAAATTTGAACTCCGGGACCCATTATTGTCAGTAGTCAGACTGGTGAACTCAGGGACCCATTATTGTCAGTAGTCAGACTGGTGAACTCAGGGACCCATTATTCTCAGTAGTCAGACTGGTGAACTCAGGGACCCAT